TTACCATCCTCCCTCAGAAAGCCGGGCGACGTCCCGCTGTCCGGAGTCCTCAGCCATCCCACAGCTCTGCCTCCATCACGCCCCCAACCTGCCAGCTCCCCACCTCCACGCCTCTCTTCTGGCCACCAGGGCTCCTCTCCATTTCCCCTCATCCACTGGCCCCTCCACCCGTCTCCCCCAGAGTGATCTTTTACAGAGAAAACAAATACGATCAATATAAAGGTTCCCTGTTTAACCCCTGGGGGCCTCCTATTCCTCTGAGGCTCAAACCTAGGAAGCTCCACTCCCTGCGGCCTGTGTCCCCCTCCCTTGGCCTCATCTCACCTGCCACCTTCTGCTGCCAAGCCACCTGCTCGGGGCCTCCTCACTGTTCCTTAAACAGCCCTGAGCTCTTCCCAGCCCAGGGCCTTGCTCTCACTGACCCGGTCCCCGGAACGCCCTGGCCTGGTCCCTTCCTATCCTGCAGGTCTCGGCTCTGACGCTGCCTCCCGCATGAGACAGCTCTCGTCACACAGGGCAAACAGAGCCCTGCTGTCGCCCTCTCCCCCACCCCCCAGCATTGCGTCCGTAGCACTCGGCACTCCCTGGTATTTCCTGTTGACATGTTCATGGAACTTTCCCCTGCATGGACCAGCCCGCAGACCCTGCCCCCATGTGCCGCACAGGCCCCAGTGCCCGGCGCCCAGCTCTAGAGCTCCGGCCTTTCCCCTGGACACGCAGGCTGGGCAGCCAGCTCCCAGCCCTCCCCCAGCCACCCTGACCAGGAGTGGGAACCGGCAGGTCTGGCAGCCACTTGGCATCCCGAGCTCCCTCAGCTGATGACTTTTCCATCCCGGACAGAAACTTTAGAAAGTGCCAGAAACGTTTCCATCTCCTGGGCTCAGGGAGGGAGGAGAGTAGAGATCATTCCCCCAGGCCTCCCGGCAGGCAGGGGAGAACACCGCACCAACCTAGGCCCGCGGGCTCACACCCAGCACACACAGGAGACTGTGCATGCATGCGCACACACAAGTGCACACACATGTGCGTACACACGACGCTCATCGTGGGCATCGGGCACATACACACATAGAAACATCACCGCATGCCCATCAGCCTTCTTGGAGATGAGATCACAGACAGCCGCACAGACGGAATCTGCAGGAAGGGCTAGGATGCCAGTTGGATGGGAACTTGTCTTAAGAGTTGCATTTAGAAGGCAGTTACCAAACTGTACTAGAACTGCGTGCTACAGCTTGATTTTTTTAAAGTCAAATTTCCTAAAGGTGCTTTTATCTTCACGTTCTGTATTTGTCATATCTGCATACGTTATTCCTTCTTCTATTTGGGGGTGTTTAGGAGATTGATGGGATTAGGGGAAGGGGCAAAAGGCCCCTCCATATCATGGTGTAGCCATGCCCCAGGCAGCAGGGCCCATGCCTGCCGTCATGTGTCACAGAAACGGTCCACACAGTGGCCCCCCTCTCTCCCCTCTGCTCCTGCTAACCAGGCTCAAAAGCATCCCCTGTCAGGTTGCTGTGAGTCACTCAGAGCCTCGCTCGCTTCTCTGTGCAAAGGCAATAACCCGCTCTACCCTCCTGTAGGCACCTGCAGGAAGTGAACGAGAAAATGAGTGTGTGTGGAGGGGGGGTCCTGTGTCCCTATCTGGACTCGAAAAATACCCAGAGAGTCACAGAGCCCCTCACCCTCTGGCCTCCCAAGGTCAGGTCCCTAAGTAAGGGACAGAGCTGGGGCTGGCTCCCCATCTCCTGGGAGGCCTCTGGACTGAAGCCACACGTACAGATGAGCCAGCAGCACTGCCCCTCTGAGCCTTGGTCCCCGAAAGGTCCAATGGGGAGGGCACTGGGGAGCCACGGCCAGGCCAGTGCAGGGACCAGGAGACCCCAAGGGAGGGAAAGGGCTCTTACTCCCTCACTGTTGTTCTGGGTGGGCTTTCCTTATTCTTGTTTCTCCTCTTTCCCTAGGGATCCCTGGAAGGACCTCATAAACCAAGAAATCAGGGCGGCCTTTGCCAAAGTCCGTCAGTGCTCAGCTGGACCTTCGAGCTCAGGGAAGGCCTAGGCTGGGCCCTGAGGAGAGGGACAGCATGGGACAGGGGCCTGCACCAGCCTAGACACTCCCAACCCCTCTCTCTGCTCCACTCCCCTCAAAGAATTCCCTTGCTGAGGCCCCTAGCAGCCAACTGGGTGCTCATTAGTAAGTGCCCTAGAGCGATATTAATTGATGTGTTCCAGTGTGAATCCTACGGGCAAACTGGCCTCTTGACACAAAAGCAATAAAAATAGAAATATTCCCTTCCTTTCGGGCAGTACTTTGTTCTCGACAAATGGTTTGAGTCTGAGAGCTCGTTATCACAGAGCCCATTATCCCTCACACCAGGAACGCTGCCCCACGTGCAGCCACGGCGCCCAGGCGCACAGAGAGGAGGTCATTCCCCCGTGGTATGAGCGGAAGCAGGACAGGTGCCAGGGGCTGGAGCCAGGCAGGTGAGGCTCCAGGTTCAGCAGGGCCACCTCCTCACATTGCATCTCTTCTCCGGGACTTTGCTTTGTCATCTCTCAAATGGGAGTTGACAGGGCCCACACGAGCCTTCTTCCTAACGCAGGTCTCGGCCCACAGCAAATGCTCAGAAAATGCTCCCTCCTTCCCTGCCTGTCTTCCCCAAGCCGGTCTAATCCTTAGGTCATCTGTGAGCACTGTGCCAGGAGTCCAGGCTTTGTCATCTGTGAGCACTGTGCTGGGGAGGAATGGGGAGCGATAATGCCTTAATTCTTAGGAAAATGAGACTTCTGTCTCACAGAGAAAACAAACAAACCCACAGCCAGCTCATTAAACTGGCTTCCGACATCAAAGGGTGTTCACCAAAACGCGCAGGCAGACCAGGAACATATGGGATTCATTTCCCTGGCGGGGGGAGAGGGCAGGGGGCCAGGGGACAGGTTCAGCCCTAAACAAACTGGTCCTTCTTCAAAAGACCCCTTGGGAGTTGTTGGGAAAATGTTCTGCCCACAGGCTGTGCTCACAGAGACCAGGCTGTGTGTGTGTGCGTGTGTGTGTGTGTGTGTGTGTGTGTGTGTGTAAGAGAAAGGCAATGTGAAAGGGATATGGGTGATGTGTTTGGAGCCCTGAGCTGCTGTGTGAAAGTGCTGGATTTGGTTGTGGGAGATGCCACTGCCAGTCCCTACCTGCACAACTTTGCTGTTGTTCATCTTCATGAGAGAGACACACTGACTGGTTGTCTCCTGCCTGCGCCTCTGCCTGCGTGAAGGGGGCAGGAATGGAGCCTGCAACCCAGGCACGTGCCCTTGACAGGAATCGAACCCGTGACCCTACAGTCCATGGGCCAATGCTCTAACCATTGAGCAAATTGGCTAGGGCGAGACCTAACCTTTTTATGCCTCGGTTTTCTCAAGTGCAAAACGAGGCCAGTCACCCCTACCTTCCAAGCCACCGTGAGAAGTAACGCAGAGGAAACACCACGGGGTCTGGTCCCGAGCGAGCCTGCGGGAGCGCTGAGAGGGAGCGTCTGCACCCGCGATCTGTGGGACACGCACACAGCCGTGTCTGTGCGTGGCCTGCAGCCATGGGGTGGGGAACAGAAGCATGACCCCGGTTCCTGCACTGCCCTCTGTGTGGCGCGCTTCAGGCTTGTCGATTTTCTCTCAGGGCCTTGGTCTCTCCATCAGTAAAAGGAGCGGCTGCTCTGGGGGACTGTGAGGCCCCTCTGGGCATGAGGGTGTATAGCACATTTTGGGTAAGTGGAGGCCCAGCCTGGTGGGCAGACACGGGAGACCAGAATTCAAACCAGGACCCAGCTATCCTGCCAGGAGCCGGTCAGTGGGCCTCCCTAAGACCTCAGCTCCTCACTTCACAGCAAGGACCAGACCTGCCCTGCCGGCCTCCCGTGCTGCTGTTACGTCGAAGGCAGCAACAGCTGTGAATGCACGCTCCCAACTGAGGAGTGTGCTGCAGCCGTGACTTACGGTGCATATATGTGTGACGACCTGCGTGGTATATATATTTGTGAGGGCCATGTGGCTTTCAGAGCTCAAAGTGCCCTGAGCGACAAATGACAGTGTACCTGTGCATATCTGCGAATGTCTGTGTGCATGCTGTCCGTCTGTGCATATGTGCATTTATGTGTCCGTGTGAGTCGTGTATATGCACTTGTGCATCTGTGGGCCTTGGTGTGTCTGCACGTGTGCTGCTCTGGCTGTGTATGTGTCCAGTATGTCTGGGCACCGGTCCGGGAGCAGTGGTGGATCTCCTCATATTGGTGTCTGTGCGCACAGTGTGTGCCTGCATGTGTGGTGTGTATCCAAGTGCATGCTTTGTCCATGTGTGGGTTGTATGTCGTGTGTCTGCATCCGGCCAAGGGTCTCCGTACTCTTGTGCCCTCTGAGAAGGACTGAGGCAGCTCTGCTCTCAGATGCCCCTGCTCAGACCCCCAGGGCAGAACTTGGGCTCCGGGAGGGAGCTCTGGCTCCAAAGCTGACACACTGAATGTGAATCGACTGCCACACACCAGGGCCCTCACCTCTCCCCAACCTGCTATCAGCTGCGAACACGTTCTCTGGAGAGGAAGGCCCGCCTGGATCCTGGTTGTACCCTTGCCAGGGGCGGGGCTGGTTTCCTCTGTCCTGCGAGGCTTTGGGCTCATTTATTCCACATGACCCGCTGCCTGCTGTGGGACAGACCCCTGCCTGGAGCTCCCACTCATATCATCCCAACCACAGCACCCTCTGAGACGGGAGTTATCGCCTACTTTCTAGATGAGGAAACGGAGGCTCGGAGGGTGACGGGACTTGTCCCTGCCGACCTCTCTCTGCCTCCTGCTCTGCGGGGGTTGCCCAGTGCTACAACAGCCCAGAGAATGGCAGCGGTCTCTGGAGGCTCCCAGAGGGTATGGCCTCAGGGGCACACAGCTTTCTTTTCTGCAAACCAGGGTGAGGACAGGTGAGGCTGAGGGGCTCTCAGAGCGGGTTCCTCTCATGAGGAGCCAGCCCAGCATTTGCATGGGGCTTCCGGGCACATGCCCAGGTGGAACCCCAGAGATGGGGCCCTCATGTCATGACTTTCATGATGAGTCAGTGCCAGCTGGTCCCTATGAAGTCCCCCTGTCTTCCCCTGCCAGCCTGATTTCACCCTCCTGTCCCCTTGGGATGGTTCCCAGCAACGGAACACTCCTGACATCTCGAGGGGCCTGGGTTCATGCAATGACAGAGCCGGCCACGGGCTCCAGAAGGTCCTCCCCAAGCCAGGTGATCTGGACTGGCTTGATTTGTGGTGCTTCAGGCAGGCACCATTGGGGATGGACTCCTTAGAAAAGCCCAAATACTTTCACTTGGCATTCCAAGCCCTACACATGCTGCCCTCGCCTCACCTGCCCCCTGCACAGCCAGCTCTCTGGCCAGGACAGACTGCGTACTCTTCCCCAGGCCCCTCATGGTGCCACACCTTACTCTTGCTGTTTTCCTACCTAGATGACTGTATCCCTTTTTCAACATTTGGTGAACTCCTACACAGCCTTCAAAGCCCACCCGAAAGGCACCTCCTTCCGAAACCCTTTTCCAACTGCCCCTTGTATGTACTTTGTTGCCACACTTGGCTCTCCCTTGCTGGCAGCAGCCTTACCTAGTTCATTCCTTCATGCCCATGCCCGCGAAGAAGTGAGCATTGGGAGGGTGAACGGATGAATGGACAAGCTAATGAACCAGTTAGCCCAAAGGCTTTTAATGAGCCGTCTCTGCCCCTGAGGTCTCCTGCCTAGTTTCTCCTCTGCTGTTCTCTGCATCTGGGCTTGCTTAATCTAATGCTTAGTTGGGACCCTGTTTGCCAGGTGTTAACCTGTGGCTTTCCTGGCTGCGCTTTCTCTCCTTCCTGGCACCCTTCCTGTGCTATGGACACTCTACCTCCAACCCCCAACCCCTATACCAGCCTGGGCGCTCTTCCCCACCCCCTGTGCTTCCCACCCCTTCTGGCTAACTTCTCCTCACCCTACAGACCTCTGCTCCTTTGCTGCCTCCTCCAGGAAGCCTTCCCTGAAACCCTCCCTTCCTCTCCCAAGTGTTGTGGGAGGGGCATCTCCCTGTCTGGCTCCTCGGCCTCCTGGCCACCCTGTGTAGCAGACTTGGGCTTACCTGAGGGCAGGGCTGGGTGATCCTGGTGGGAGAAGAAGTAAAACCATCAGGGGAGGTGAGGAGGCCACTGTGGTGGCAGGTGAACCTCACGTTAAGGAAATCCACCGACATGAATGCATGAAAACTCAGTTTTGCCCCAAGACCGTTAGAGCTACGTCTCCACTCTCACGGGGAAGGTGAAGTGACATAGAGCAGGGGGAGGGCCACACGCGCACTGAGCAGCTGCATGGTCATTGTCTCAGGGAGCCGGCCTCACAGCCCTAGGAAGTGGTGCATCACCCCATTGCTACTGAGTTCCTCTGGGGCAGTTGGACACCAAAGCCCAGGTCTTTCCTGGCACTTGCCATGCTGCCTCTTACCGCTGCTCTTCCCCTGGATCTGCCTGCGCAACACTCCTGCTCTGCGTTTCCGAGTCCCCGAAACTCTTCAGAAGTCCACTAGGGGGCAGGCAAGCTGTTCCAGGGAGAACCGAAGCCCTGGGCAACCTAGAGATTCCGGGCCCCTCCCCTGCCCTGGGGCTCCCTAGGTCCCACTAGAGAGGGAGATGGTTCCCCAGCCCACAGAGAAGTCTTGCTTGGGAATATCCCCAACGACTGAAGGACTAAGGACAGCAGGTCTCAGTGTCCTGTCCCCGTCCGAAAGGCTAGGCCTAGGCCAGCATGTGTCAGAGGTTTGTCCAGTCTCCAGCCATTTGCATTTCTGATTAATAGTATGGAGGTGACACCCTGTCTTATTCAGCGCTCTCCTGGACCTTATTCACATGGCCTACCACACCTATTCCTAAGGGCAGGTGTGATGGTCGTGTGTACAGCCTGGAAAATGAAGCTCTTGCTGGCAGTTCTCCCTCATTGCTCACCTAAGATCGTCCCTCTTGGGGTTCCAGATTCAACGAACGGTTGCCCTGGCCAGTTATCTCTCGATGAGCCCACTGGGTTACCC